TAACAATGGAAGCGGGAGAATGAGTACAGCCCAGTCACTGCAGACTCTCTATGGAAAAGGAAATTCATATCTTCTCTTAACAGCAAGAGGCTCACACAAAACAATGCCAGCAACTGAGAGATGCTGAAGATTGTGTCAATTTGAAGCCATTTCCCCACTGGACACGTCCTCTGACAGGGTGGACATGAAGCATCAGGTCAAAGACTGCACACAAAAAGTAATACAGGTGCAGAATTAATTTGTGTTTTTTAAAGTCTTATTTGGAGGACAAATATGTCATGCCGTGTTTTTTCTCCGTGACAGCCAAATAAGCCGTGATCGTATAGTGGTTAGTACTCTGCGTTGTGGCCGCAGCAACCCCGGTTCGAATCCGGGTCACGGCAGTTTTTCTCTCATTTCCCGAGAAAAGATAAAGAGTGCGCACTGCTGAAAGCAGGGGATGTTTGTATACTTTCTACTACTGCAGAGCACAATAAAAAATGTCATCCAAATGTTCGAAATGCACCCGTGAGCAGTGCAAAAGGGCGATCTTTGCTGACAGTAGCATTTCTTAATTGTGAATGCTTTTTTTATACCCGCTCGGTTCTGCTTGGGTTCGAGAGATGTAAATTTCATCAGCAGGCAGGCAGTGAGGGCAAGAATCTCACTAGAATCTGATGTAAGAGATTTTATACCGAAATGCACCAACTACGCATGCGCCCCAGGCAGTGGAAAGGACTTTAAAGAAGTAAAACAGGAATGACCTCTCTGCAGTGCCTATATAGACTATATAAAGGCTTGCGCAGTATCAAAAAAAATCTAGATTTGCCTTTTCTCTAGATTAAAAAAAATAGTGCGAGATTTAGACTTTAACTTACATTTTCTCGCTTATTCTTGTAGATGTAGAAACACTATATGGACACTCAAATAGTTGATAGTGTTTAGCGCTATATAAGGAGCTAAACGAGAGAAAGAGGTTTTATGAAAGCAAGTTTTGGTTCAGTTGATTTTATTATTATGGAAATGTTACGTTCATTGGAAAGGACGAGCAGACTGATGCAGACACAACGGCATCATTTTTTTTCTTGTAACTTTAATTATTGATGCACGTTAACATCCGTGAGCATTAATGAAAGATTGAAAGATTCTTATTAGTTTATGTGTTGAAACCCATGTATTGATTGCATTGTGAGTGGATGATAAGGTTCCCGAAAGTACCTCGGACAGTGGCAAGCCGTGATCGTATAGTGGTTAGTACTCTGCGTTGTGGCCGCAGCAACCCCGGTTCGAATCCGGGTCACGGCAATTCCTAAAGTCTCCAATGTCTGTTTTAGTTGCGTCCGCTATTACTCCTGCTTTATTGTCTGTGCGAAAGTTTTTTAGTTGTGTTAAAACTTTAATGGGCGTTAACGTTAGTACATCAATAATACGTGTGAAATATTAATACTAGAAGATTTGGGGGAAAAAAATACACCAACTTGGTGTTAAGAGACCTTTAAAACACATTACTATAGTAATGTGTTTAAGACAACTTAAAAGAATAAAAGGTCGACACTGAGACAGTGATACCCTTGAGCCAATTTCACAAAAAAGTACACAGCTAGGGATAAATATTTAACTAATTTCAGTGGACTATGTACTCTACATGAACACTACTTGTGTTAAAATGCACATCAGTTAGTGTAACTGTGGCCCTCGAAGCAGATGCTTTTAAAACACATTCTACAGTAATAGTTTGCAGAGAATGATTCAACATAGTCAAGAACTGAGTGAAAAACTTAAATTATCACCAGTTACTTGTGCCACTGTATCATAGAAATGTTGTTCAGTAAATGATAATTTCACACCACTGTTCTCTAACATCCTTAACATCATCAGCAGGAGTATTTTGTCAATGCCACATTTCTTTGCATCTTGGTTATGAAAAAAAGAAATGAGATGGATGTTCATCAATAAGGAATTCCGACTAGGTGGTAAATTCTGCAATGTAAAACAAAGACATCCAAACTTGTGAATGTCTTTTTTTTTTTTGTTTACCCTAGTAGATTTGATGTTTGGAAGTTATTATAATAATCTTGAATTTGAAGTGCACTTTTAGATTTTGAGAATAATGGCTAACATTTGTAATATCTGCCTTCAGGAAAAAGCTTTACATTTCCGAGAGTAGCTGGTTTATTCATGGGATGTGAAACTTCTGCATCTTAAAGGAAAACTTTTCATTTTCAAATTAACTTTCATAAATGAAAGTGGGTGGGTATAACTCATGAAAAAAAATTAAGATGTTGGATTAATGCACAAGGTATATTGTGCAAGGATCTACAAATGTAACATCTGTACGAGTATGTCTGTGAAGATTCTCAGTCATCCAGGTCATCGTAGTCAAAGGAGCTTTGATTGATTGATTGAATCTTTATTTTGAACATGTTGAAAAAGTATAAAAAAAATAGAATTAAAAGAGACAAATGAACAAAGCAAACAAAAGGAAAACGAGCAACCACAACTCCAAATAACGTCCATGTTCAAAAAGGAGCGGGAAGAAGCATAAGCTTATTTAATCCCACCCCTTTTCCACTATCTAGTATCAATAGACTACAGAAATACCTTCTTGCAATTACATTATATGTTATGTGCAAAATATTTTTTTAAATATATACACATATGTTTCTATCTATCCATACATACGTATATACACACATACGCACATATACACATTTTCAATAACCCCATTAACACCTCAAGGATACACAACCTACAATTATATATATATAGCAAAGAAAAGCGTCTGGACTTCTTTAAGTTACTTGAAGACGTTTCACTTCTCATCCGAGAAGCTTCTTCAGTTCTGAGGTCAAATGGTGGAGAGTCCCAGAAAGTCGCCTGACAGGGTTTGTAAAGTGGATGGACTGATGGGCAGTCAGTGAGCCAGGGCTCCAAGTGAGTACGTGTCTTTCAGCTTGCTTTTAAGAATGCAGCTCTTTACCATTGGACTCCCTGTTGTGGAACCAAAATTGCTGAGTGCAAGGATTTTTTAGCCATAAATAACTCATAACTGAAGACAAAACTACATAAGGTGCACCATGCAATGACCTCAAAGAACAGTAACACTGCATATTAACTTGGCAATAAGCTGCTGTTCATGGACTTTGCTCTTAGCTCTTTCTATAGCTTTGGGGCCACCAAAACTTAAAACAAAAACACATTGTTCTAACATTTAAACAAAAACAGTGATAACAGAAGTCAAAAAATAAAGGTACTAGTCAGAAATTCCTCTTTTTGGGCTCCAAGTGAGTACAAGAAAGTGGGGTCGGAGATTCATCAGATACCCGGATGTTCAAGGTTACTCTCTCAGGCATTTAATAAAGACTTTAAGAATTTTAACTCTCATGAGTAAAACATATCAGTGCATGGAGCCAAAAATATTTTTCTTCCTTCAAAATATTTCTCAGACACCTGCAGTTTCCTATTTGACCATGGAGTAGTGAACTGTGGTTAGGGTTTTGTAACTAGAAAAGCACAATAAATAAATATCTGTAATAAAATGACAACTTTCCATGAAAGATCAAGATTCACTGAATACAAATTATGGAATTACATCAAATAAAATGATGATTTCTTGATTTTTTTTTCCCCTTTAACCCTCTGATGCATAGTGGTCACTGGAGTGGACAGCTACTAAAACGTACATATCTCTTTAATGCATTGGTTTCTATGGTGGAACTGCATATTAGCCTCTAGAGTGCTCTCTGCTGCCATGCTCCATTGAGGTCAATTCAGTGTTCAGTTAGTGCAACTGCAAGTAAATTTCCTCTGAATCAAAGATGGCAGACAAACTGTCACCCCTGCCGACCACTGCTGGCATATCCTGTCAATCCTTCTATGCTAAAAGAGCCCAACAGGTAAAAAAAATATGATGATATGCAGTAACATCTAGGGAAGGATATTATCTGTTTGGAATAAGAAATTGTTATGTCTAATATGTAGAAAACTACGATTAACCATGTGTCCACTGTAGTGGACATCATGCATTACCCACTATATTTTTTTAACATAAGTCATAAATTGTCTCACTGTTTTTTGGGACTGTTTTGGTTATAAGTAAGCATATAATTGTTACATTTATAAGCTACTCATTTAAAATGTATATTTCTGTGCAGATCAGCTGTAGTTTGAGTTACTATAATAATTATTTTATCATATTTTGTAGACTTCAAATGCAGCAAAGAATAAGGCAGCGTACAGAATAGTCCAGGAAATTCCATCCAGCTCCAGTGATGATGATTTCATTGATGAGTGCAGTGATGATGAGTTCAGTGATAAGTCCAGTGATGATGAGAGTGGCTGCCAGAGCAGAACAGAGACATAGGAACTACGGACAGCCTAGGTGTGATGAACACAGAAGTGTTTGGAGATGCAGAGACTAAGATGTCAGTTTGTGTTTTCTTCCAGCATGCTACTAAGGGCTTGGTAATACTGTCCTGCATCGTTATAGAACTGTGTAGACTCAAAAATGTTTCTCTTGTTGGAGATAGTTTGCCATATTCAGGTGTAGGATTCACAGCTAGGACTGTTGATTGGTTTTGTTATTTACGTCTAAACATTGGGGCCTTATGAGTTGAAAGTTCCAAAAAATTGCTGAGATGTTTTTCAAAGGATACAAGCAAACAAGTGTTTGTATATTTACAATAGAACACAAGGTAATTAATTTTTATAGTAAATTCACAGTATTTCATGCTAAGTGCTCAGGCGCATGTAGTCCACTGGAGTGGACAAGTTTATAACTTTATAAAAAAACATATTTTTGGGGAAAAAAGAGTTGAACATTTTTTTTTATGTCCTGAGAAGAATAAAAGCACTTAAGAAAAAAATCTTGACCAAGGCTTTCATAATTCATGCATCAGAGGGTTAAATAAGTAGATAAATAATTTCAAACGAGATATTGATATTTATTCCCGCTCCAAGTGCGCCAGTGACGTCAAATCTCGCGGCATCACTTCCCCAAATCTCGCTGGAGAAACTAACAAGGAAGCGAATGGCGGAAATGTAGATCCACCTCACGCTTTCAGTTAGTCATTTCTGGCTATAGCTCTTTCTTTTCTTCTTAAAAGCAGAACCGAGCCCAGAGTCCAGCAGATGTCTTCAGGCGAAAGCACTACGCGGTTCTGAAGAAGCGATGCGGTCGCTTTGAGTCGCCTGACAGGGTTTGTAAAGTGGATGGACGGATGGGCAGTCAGTGAGCCAGCTGAGAGCGTCCTGTCACCGACAGCCTGCCAGTTTAAACACCGGTAATGTGTAACGTTAATATGGGGGGTTTACTTATTTTATGTGACTTAAAAGCCAAGTGAAACAGAATTCGTTCAGGATTAGCGTCACTAAAGCTGTGGGTTCAAGGTAGCACATCATCCCCACACAGAAAAAGCAAATGCAGATCCGACCATATGGGAAAAACTGACAGCAGGTGTACCATAGTTTGAGTTGGTTAAAGAGCTTCAGAGTGCCTGCAGCCTGAGCAGCAGACAGTTTGATGCTTTTACCATCAGTAAAAAAAAAAACAGGTGTGCGGGTGTTTACTGCAACTTGACGCAGAAGTAAACCAAACAATCTGTGGGAGACCTGAGTCTCCAGTGTGCTAACAATGATTCTGTTATTTAGATGTGTAGTACTATATATTTTTCCAGACAGTATCAGATCAGTTCACTACATCACCTGCCATTTAATCTCTCTAAATATGAGGGCCTCCTTTCATCCTGCTAATGACTTGTTTGTAGGGTTGCCAACTCCCTGAAAAATAAATAAGAGACACCTCACGGCCGGGGCTGGGCGACCCGATTGTCTTCACCCTTCCCAGTGTGAGGAATTTTTTTTAGCTCTTTTTTTTGGTGTGTGAAATTATTTTTTTAACCTTTTGACAAAGTGCGTCCCTTTTCAGCTCAATACTTTTGTTTCTAAATATGGAACGATTCTGTTTTTCAAGGGACGGTTGGCAACCCTACTTGTTTGTGTGGTACAACCGGGATAAAACTGGAAGAGCAAGTTTTGGCAACTGTTCCTGACCAGCTGTATCCCATATTCATTAAAACGATTGGCAAATAAACTCTTTATCTTAATTTATTTTTTCTTTCTAAGACTAATCTGAGACAAGTGACAAGTCAGGTGATTGAGACAATTGTCTGATCCCTAATTGGCATTTAAAATTAGTTGAGTTTTGAGCTTCATACTTAAATCGAATGCAATGCCTCATTTGCAGACATATGGCCCTGCCGCTCAGTTAGCCGAGGGAGACGAGGAAACGACGCGAGCATCATGTTTCTGAAAACATCGTTCACCACCCTGATCGTGGGGGTGTTTGTGGTCTATGTGCTCCACACCTGCTGGGTGATGTACGGGATCGTGTACACCAAACCCTGCAACAACCCCAAAGGTGCCAACTGCATCACACCCTTCCTGGCTGGGAACCCCAAACTGCAGGTCAGTTGTGAGCAAGGATGGTCGCGCCGGTCATGCATGAGTCTGGTTTCTCTCTTTGATGCGGATGCCTGACATGTTCGTCTTTGTTCTTTAGCTGAGCATCTACACCACACTGCGGTCGAACGCAGAAGGAGGCCATACTCTGATCCACAAAGAGGAGAACTTTGATGTCAACAGCAAGTTTGAAAGGTTGGTTGTTTGGGGAGGGGTTAAGAGATTCACATTTATTATCTTAACGGAAGTAAAAACCTATGAGATAAAAACAGACACTGAATTGAATGCACAGCCCCTTGTGGTATGACACGGTGTTACACGGAGATTTGATTGAAGCATTCTGAAAAACGGATTTCTTTTTTAAGTTCTGTTTTAAATTTCGTTTCTTTCTTTTCCATGTTTCCCACAGGACAATCAATGTCTCCCTACCTAAGAAAACCCGTAATAATGGAACTCTATACGCACTAATATTTGTCCATCAAGCTGCCCACGATCCGTGGCACGATCCACGACAAGTTCACTTGGTTGCTCAGCTCACCACGTACATGGTCCCTAAACCGCCTGAAATCTCTCTGATATCTGGGGAAGATAAAACAAAGGTACCATACTGTCTCTGCTACTGCTGAAAGTCAACACACAGAAAGTTAACAGCTATGTAGTTTTTCTTTAAAAAGATCAGATATGCAGAAGAATTGTGCTGTTTTATCAAGCTTTAATCAGATCACTAAACTCCTATCGTGCCTTTGCACTCGCGCAGGGTCAGAAAGAAGGCCAGCAGAAGAAGCTGCATGATGCAGCGGCAGGGGGCGGAGCCAGAGCTGGAGCCACCTCTGTGTCAGACCATCCAGTTTCACACTGGCGCTCCCGCCTCACTGTCAACATTGTCGGCGACCACTTCCTCTTTGACAGAGAATACCTCCCAAATGATGTCCACAGATACCTCAGAGTGTAAGATGGCGGCTACACAAACGCAAACGGCACTATGAGAGGAAATAGATATCCAAGTTGTTGTTTTTTGTTGTTGTTGTTGTTTTTAAAGAAGAGGTTTAAAAGAGGTCCACAGTTTGGGAGCTCTAACCTAAGGCCCAGCCACTTTAATTTATTAGCCAAGACCTAGAAATAGCCAAAAGGGGTGTGGCATGTAAAGGGTTAAAAAGTGCCTATTCTAATCCAGGCAGTTGTTTTCTGATTCAGCCGCAACCGGTGAAGTGGGCCATGACCGATGCCGACATAAAGAGCATTTCAATAGTGGAGGCGAGAAAAAGAAAGGATGCTTTGAGCTGTACTAGCTGTACTTTTAATGGATTACAGGCTTGTCGTGACGATCAAAGAGTTTCATAAAATGTTTTATCTGTATGTGTTCCAGGTTTCAGAATGGGAAGAAGGTGGTGTATCTACCTCTGCTGTTTGTTGATGAGCTCAGCAACCGGGTCAAGGACCTCGTGGTAAGTTTTCTATTTTAAATAAATATTATGCAACAGACTGCAACTCCCTGTCAGGTAGTCCCAGTGGCAGATTTTCAAATGCAATGCTTTTTTTCTATTCATTGTATTTGCTCACGGAACCTGGTTAGAGGACAATGAGTTTATGAGGCCACAATAATGATGTGTTAGTGAATGCATGGCTGAGAAGCACGTTATAGGAAACGTTGAACATATTTTTTTTCCCATGTTTTTGTGTGTAGGAGATCAACAGTACCACTACAGAACTTCCTCTGATCATCTCCTACGACTCAATCTCTCTGGGCAGACTTCGATTCTGGATCCACATGCAAGACGCCGTTTACTCTCTGCAGCAGTTCGGTATGCTAATCTTCCTGCTTGCTTTACTTCACACGTTCACTGCAGCCCTGACCTTTGCTAGACATTACCTGATCGAGCATCCTGTGCGAACGCAAAGTTTGAAGTTCGCCTCCTACTATAAGTGATGTATGATTGCACAGTGCGGTGCATTTAGTCTATCTGCATCCTTCAGATCGAGCTTCAGCCAGGTTTCCTCATCATGTCTACACACCTAAATGCAGTGCGGTTTTCTGTATCTGTTTTTGCAGGGTTCACAGAGAAGGATGCTGATGAGATTAAAGGGATCTTCGTGGATACCAACCTGTATTTCCTGGCCCTGACTTTCTTTGTAGCTGCTTTCCACGTGAGTGTGGCTGCAGACTTTTAGAGTGTACTTTGAATCCTTAAGTGAGCTGTTCATTTTAGTTCACAGTAGGAAACGTTTTTATCATTACAAAATATCACATATAAGTAAAGCTTGGGGTAATAAGTCACCTAACTGGGTCATTTTAAGGTCAAATAAAGATGCCAGTCTTAACTCTGAATGCTCTTTCAGCTCCTCTTTGACTTCCTGGCCTTCAAAAATGACATCAGCTTCTGGAAGCAGAAGAAAAGTATGGTGGGAATGTCCAGCAAAGCAGGTTTGTTAGCTTCACGGCACTGTTTCACCTTCTCACCAAACCCCTTCAAAATCCAGTTTATACAGTTTATATGGGCATAAAGAATCACCATGAATACATTTGTGGTTAGTGGCTAAATAAACTACTCCTAGTAGAGTGTGAATGTCACCCTGTAATAAGGCTTTGACAAATGTGCAGAACAGGTGAATCTACAATATTTTTTTCATATTCTGAATCTGCTGGTTGGCCAGCAATATTTCACCCACAAGGATTATAAGAGAGAGCGCTTGTACCTTAATAGTTTTTGAATCATTTTGGCTTTGCAGTGACAGATCCACAGAACCGGCACTGTGGGACCTCTGATTTATGGGTTTTTAGAGAAGTGGCAGCTGAGAAAAAACAACAAAAAACACAGTGTAACTATATAACCCTACAAATGTTTCCCAGTGTTGTAAGATTACACAAAAGGCTTTTAAAACATGTGGGATAAAGTGTTATCAAGAGACTCGAGCTGAACCAAATGATCGGTCATCAGTGTCAGTTTGGGAGAGCCATTTACTATCTCACATTTTCTGTTGTTTGCTTCTATTTCAGTGCTGTGGCGCTGTTTCAGTACCATAGTGATTTTCCTCTATTTGCTTGACGAGCAGACCAGTCTGCTTGTCCTCATACCTGCAGGGATCGGCTCTATGATTGAAGTAAACACACGCGCGCAATTAAAAATGAATTTAAACACACACAAAATGACCATTTATTCTCACTTCAGATTTGATTAAAAGGTGATTACGTGATCTGTAATATGTAATAATGTTTCTTTTCTTTTTTTTTTTAAGGTTTGGAAAGTGAAGAAAGCCTTTAAGATTCAAGTTTTCTGGAAAGGAGGCAAACCCACATTCCTGGTATGGCTACACAGATATACACACGAAATTGAGCATGCCTGCTTTAAAATGCTGTGCAGTACACAGTGTTGTATAAAAGTCTTTAGCAACTCTTTAGCTGCACTTGGATTTTTTATTTTTTTTAAAGGCTTGAGCAACAGTTCTCCAGGCTTTTTGGAGCTCTTTGAAAGTTTGGACTTTGGCTACTTTTCCACTAATTTTCAGTCCAGCCCAAACCTGAACCTGAACATTTCAGAAGGGGGGAAAAAACATTTTCAGATGAATCTTAATTTGTTTTTAACACTGAGCTCAACGATCATTCAAGCATGCAAAAGACACCTCAGAGGATGAACCAGTTTTGTGGACGCATAACAGACAACTTGGCAAAGAAGCAATTTAAATTTTAATCTTTAGGCGCTTTCTTACTAGCAGCGTGTTGCAAAAACATGTCATTTGTTGTCATGTCTTTAGCCGAATATACAAAACACCACAAGCACAGTTTAACATAAACTCAAATAAATTTGTATTTTTGCACCAACAAGGTGATTCCCAAAGTGCTATAAGCCAGAAGCTTGGCATATCTCAGCATGGTGTGCAGTGTCTTTAAAGAACTTGAGGAAACTGACCAAATGAAAGGCAAAAGAAGGTGGAGCAGACCTAAAAATTATGTACCTACAGTTGCTGTCAAGAAGCCAGTTTTAAGGGAACTTGGGAGAAAAGGTCTTGAGGTGTGATGAATCCAAATCGCAAATTTCTGGTTATTTGCTGAGGATGTCAGGAGATGGGCACAACATTGAGTGTCAGTTAAGAGCTTTAAATGTCTTTCCAGAAGCCTGGATCTGAAAACTACTTAAAGAAATTATGAGAAATCTTGCCTAAGAGTTCAGGCTATGTTAAAGAATAAAGGTGGTCATACCTGTACATTCTGTTTTTTGCCTTATACACTGTAATTCCATATGTTTAAATAGATATTTAAATAAAAGTACAACATATACGCATCCAGTTATTTCCTATGCCAGGAAGGCTCTGGGTTAAGGAGTAGAGACCAGTCTTACACAGCCTGTGCTACAACATCCGACTCACTCTTAAATTATCTGACATGTTGACTCAAAGTACCTTTTTTCTCTAACTGCGGCTTTTTTATCTGCTGGTTTTATTCTCTTATGGTGCTTTCTGCTGTAATAATATTTGTATTCAATTAAATTACTGTCCTTTCACAAAGCACAGAGCAGATAATGGAACTTTAGCCATGTTAATAAATAAAAAAGATAAATGTTCATGCAGCATTGTAGGCAGGATAATACATGCTTAATAGAAAACACGACAATCCTTTCTTATAAATGTAAAACGCTACATCGAGGCGCTTGAGTTTATAATTGTCCTTGTCGGCATTTTTCCTTAATTTCTGCAGCACTGACCGCAACTGTCGAGATTTTTAAAATGTGAGTGAAAACACGTGTCGAGTGTGCTAATGAGTGTTTTTGTTCTGTTACAGTTTGGAAAGTTAGATGAATCTGAGAGGAGAACAGAAGAATATGATACCCTGGTAGGGCACAAGACAATTAATTATCAGTTGTTTCTTTGAGATATGAGCACTTACGCTGATTGCCTCTTTCTTTATTTTTCTGTAGGCCATGAAGTATCTCTCATACCTCCTTTACCCACTGTGTATCGGAGGGGCAGTGTATGCACTAATATTTTTACGATATAAGAGGTAGGAGTCTGCGTATGTGTAAGTAACAATAACGGGATACTGATTGACTCAGTCTGACAGGTCATCACTCATTTTGTTTGTGTATCTTTCTGTTGTAGTTGGTACTCGTGGCTGATTAACAGCTTGGTGAACGGTAAGGTGCTCTATACTCTTAGCACACACACAAAATACTTCTGTCCATAACAGTCATAATAAATTCTCGTGTGTTTTTCTTCACTTTATAGGTGTTTATGCATTCGGGTTCCTCTTCATGCTTCCTCAGCTATTTGTCAACTATAAGGTTAGTTTTACTTTGAAGTTACTGATTCACAAAAATCAGTAACCCACGCAATCTGTGTAATAAATGCACACATTACAACCTAACAATAAAATGCCACAGTGTGCAAACTGCAGTTTATTTACCATAACAAAACAGCACAGTAGTCATGTCTGATTATTCAGCTCTGTTCTTTATTTAACAGCTGAAGTCTGTTGCCCACTTGCCCTGGAAAGCCTTCACGTATAAGGTAAAAAATAAATTTCCTGTTGTTTTCTGAGTGGTTTAGCAAATGGATGGTAAGGCCTCAGTAACACAGGCTGAGAGACTGATTGGTAACCTAAGGAAAAATGCGTGTTCTGCGAGTGGTTGCTGGCAGTCACTAGATAAAATCGGCCACAAAGAGGGTGCTGCAAAAATCCCGTTTTAATGGTTTTGATCTCAAGGCGGATGGCACGGTCGCCTGTAGTTTGCACGGAAGACGTCCACTTGTCTGCACGCACTTGCCAACTTCTCTCCGAAGGGTAGCGAAACTGTGACGTAAATAGAAACCGAGGCAATTTGCCTAAAAGAAATAAGTGAACTTTTGGAATGCTGTTGTTTGCAGCACTTTTATTTTGAAGGAGAATATTCTGCATTTCCAGTTTGCATCATGTTTTTTACTATCGTGCTCACTGAGTAGATTGCAATCAAGCAGTGTTTACAGACGAGTCGGCTTTCTCAATTCAAACTGGATGATCGTAGTATTATACCGGCAATCACAAGGAGATTTTTTTTCTTTTTCTTTTTTGGTGCAGCACCCTCTTTCACTTGTCAACCAGTCCAAGAATGCACATATTTCCCTAGCAACCAGAGATTGCCGGGGAGTGACTGACTGGTCTCTAAGCCGGTGTGACTGAGGCCTACATCTTTCATACTGTTTTTACAGCTTTTAACTTTCCATATAATAATGTTGGTCAGTGATTTAATTACTAAAGCACTCTCACTTCTAAATTTGAAAGAAAGTGTATCTATTATTTTTTTTAATGTTCAAGAGCCGATGTAATTTGTCAGAATAACTGATCACCCCTACAAACAATGACTACTTTATTTTTTATCTATCTTTTGAGAATGTTCATGGACTTCTTTCATGTTAACAGGCATTCAATACCTTCATCGATGACGTGTTTGCCTTCATCATCACCATGCCAACGTCTCACAGACTGGCCTGTTTCAGAGATGATGTGGTGTTTCTCATCTACCTTTACCAGAGATGGTACATGCACACTACATTACACGTAGCACATTTGTTAAAAACGTGCACATTTTTTGAGAGTTAAAACTCTCCGTTTCTTTCACCAGGCTCTACCCTGTGGACAAAACAAGAGTAAATGAATATGGAGTGTCGTACGATGAAAAACCCAAAGGGAAGAGTCACTAGACTCGGAGGAATTTGCTTTTATGATCTGGAATCTGTGGGTATTGTCTTGTTTCCACTGGTGTCCACTCATCTTTATCAACCGGAATGAGTTTAATGGTCAGGGGGACATTTTTTGTTGTATATGTTCCAGGCACATAAATGTGCTTATGGTTCGGACTTTTTCCACCCTGTTAAAAATTGTTAAAAGGGCAATATCATCTTCTGCTTCGTCTGACAGTCTGACGAGGCCTTCTTGTTTTGTTTTGGGGTTTTTTTTGGTGGGGCGGGGGTTAGTTACAGTGTGTGTGATGGGACACAGTGACAGTGTGTTTTTATTTTTCCAGAGTTTTAAATGCACAAAGGAATCTTTATAATTCTTAACAATGCTACGCTCATGTTTTGAACAAGTTGGATTCAGCCTGCTCCGACAGCTGGCAGATGTAGTATATCTACGAGCTGCAGAGAAAGAGCTGCTTTGCTCATCTGAGAGCTTTATTCAGTAAGAAGACATAATCCAGTGGCTTGTTGTATACCTACCAGATAAGACAGCCTTCAAGTAAAATCAAGATAGCTGTGTGATGGCAGGGATAGAAAGACTGTGCTGTGACAAAAAAGGAGGGACTGATGTTTCAGGCAGCTCAATAATATTGTTCCAGACAGTCTCAGAAAAATCAGGCTGTAGTCATAATTGCAGCTTTTGTGCTTAAGTGGCCACTATTTCTAAATTCGTAGCTGGTGTTGATGGTAATTGGAATAAAAATATGAAAGCTGCAATAAGCAAAGGTAAGCCATACAGAAACTAAAAATGATATATTGTTAGCTCTGTTGAATATGTAAATTATCAGAAAATATGTTCATTATTTTTAAGCATTTCTCAATAACTTGGCAATCTGGCTCTTTAAAAAAAAAAACTGTACAAAATTATATCCAAAATGATCATGTGCATACAGTTGGCATTTGTTAGTTCTGTGACAAAGAACGGTCATGTTTAATGCTACAGTCACACTAGGGAAAACAGTAGTTGGAGGCCACGGCATGACCAAACCATTCTGCCGGTGTTCTGTAAACTTGTAAGTCAAAGTGACTTTAGTGCAAGACGGCGACGAAATGGCAGTAAGGCCAATAAGACAGTCTGCTATCAGTTTGCAACTGAATAGGATCCAGTTGGCAATTACATGCAATCTGCTTATGAAGAGAGAGGTTACAAATTCACATTAAACCCTAGCATTCAGAGTCCGGCAAGTGTAAAATGGGAATTCCTCCATGAATAGTGATGTAGTTGATGTAAAGTATTCACATTTTTGTTGTCTTTTTTTTTTTTTTTTTTTCTCCTAGTTACAAGAAAGTCGCTGTCCTGCTTTTACTCTAGTGTGACTGAGCTGTAAAGAGGACCTGTTATGCTCGTTTTCTATTACACACACTGTTATGATGTAAATGTTCATAGTAAGAGATAATTAGATACACACATTTGAACGTAATCTCCGAATGGGAGAAATGAAACACCAAAAGCATAACAAAACGGTTTACGGGACTTTTTTTCTACTTCCTTATTAATATGATGATATCAGCTTATCAAGAAGATATGCAGACCTGTATACATAAATTGACGGTGATTAAGTTTGCTTCCAGTAGCTTACTTTTGCTTCCGCAAAGCAAACAAAGTTGCCAAAATAATAAAATAATAAAATACAACGGTATGCATGACAGAGAGGGCAGCCTTAAAGAGGGAGCAGCTTAAATAGCTTATTTCACACAATGTAAAATTTCAAATCGACATAAGTATGCTTTTAAAATGAGAATAAACTGTAACATTTGAGGGCAAAATCAAAGAAAATGGGATTTAAAACGTAAACGTTTAGAAATCCAAATTGGAAAAGTGATGCATTTCAATGCATCACTTTTCAGTTCTGCTGAAGAAGCGCAGATTGTTACACAATTCCGTTTATTTGCCAGTAGATGGCAGGAGAATTTCACTAGAGGCAGAGGAGAAAGTTGTGATCTGTTGCCATGGAGAGAAGATTAATTGCCCAAGACATTCCAGACACTTAAGCTTGAAAGTTCCACAATCTGTGAAGTTGAGTTCTGTATGTTTTGTGTCTCTGTAAATGGTACTGACTGCTTCATGACATTGTACCACTGACAGTCCTACTGTCTTTTCCATCCATCCATCCATCTTTTTTTTTTTCTTTTTTTTTTTTTTTCTTTTTTTTTACATAACTGGGCCAAGAAAATCTGCTAGTGCCAAATGTGAGAATGAATAATGTTACCATTGTACGTTCACAATGGATGGTACATCGGATCTTTTGAATAAACACTGACATTGTGAGAGAGATGATGACGGAAATATTTAAACAAAGTATTATTACACTGAGTTTATGCAATCAAAATTTGATTTTTTTTTTTTAAGACTTTAATTGAAATAATGTACTTAACATTCAGATATCATGATATATTAGGTCTGTATATAAAGGTTCTGCACAGGATTTATGTTTCTTAAAAATAGAGTTGACAGAGATTTGCCTTTAAATTGTTTTACTTATTGTAATGTTTGTGTTTTTTTGATTGAGATGAAATTAAAAAATAACTGACAAAATGTTACGTGTAGTTGGTATGTTACTATTGCTGGGGTAAACTGTTCAGTGGAAATGTTGCTCAGAGATAACCTGAGTAATACAGAGATAATCAATCAATCTCTCTCTCTCTCTCGCTCTCGCTCTCGCTCTCGCTCTCTCTCTCTATCGTGCAATGACTTTGGTTAGAAATTACTCTAACAGAATCTGTCTGACAGTGAAGTATACATCAAATCATGTCACGATCTAAAGAAACTCAAGAGCAGCAGAGAACAAAAGTTGGGCATCTATCAGTCTTACTAAGCCATTTCTAAAGCTTTGGGACTCCAGTGTACCACACTGAGAGCCTTTATCCACAAATGGAGAAATCTTGAAACAGTGGTGAACCCTCCCAGGAGTGGTCGCCCTACCAAAATGACTTAAAGATCACATCAAGAGAGGAAGAAGGACTAATGAACTGCCAGCCTCACTTGCACAATTAAGGTCAGAGTTCATAATTTAACAGTAACAAAAGAGACTTGGCAAAAATGGCATCCATGAGGAAGTTCCAAGGTAAAAACCACTGTTGACCAAAAAGAACAGTATCAGTCACATTTGGCAAAAAAGAAAACAACTTGATGATTCTAAGACCTTAGGGAAAATATTCTGTAGACTGATGAGGTTTTTTGGAAGCTTTCAGAACCACTACACCTGTCATAAAACTAACACAGCTTTTCTGAAAAATGGCATACCAGTAGTAAAACATGGTGGTGGTAGTATGATGTTCTGGAGCTGCTTTGTTGCTTCAGGACCAGGACAACTTGCTGTAATTGATGGATGTCCAGCCATCGATTCATGGCCTAAAGCTCAATCACACAACCACCACAATCAAAAAGAGTGCACAAACCTTGCAGGAGAGGAAAAGGCAGTACAGCTCTCTGCAATGTGGTACACTGCTGCTGTAAGGTCTCTGAGTGTAGTTAAGTGTTTCTATAAATACAGTACTCCTGCATTCCTCCGCAATTTACACATACACCAAGATGGTCTTTTTTTTTTCCAATATATTTTTATTGATTTTATAATTGAGCAGTATACAACAATCACCTTCAAAAGAACACAATAGAAGGTGGACGGTAAGTCAACAAGGTGGTAATACAGCATACATAAATGTTAAGACAGAGTATATTTCACTTAAGTTTATCCATCAGGCTAATGACTGGTTGCCAAATCTTATAAAACACACTCTCTCGGTTAGACAAGGTAAACCTGATTTTCTCCAGATGGAGTACATTTCCAAATTCTCTCAACCACATTTCAAAGATAGGTTTATCAGACTTCCAGCAGAGAAGTATCAGCTTTCTAGCCACAAGTGTGGTCATTGACACAACCTGTGTCTCTGTCTTGTCCCTTGCCCATCCCGGTTCAGACACCCCAAACAATGCTGCAAAGGGGGTACACGGGACCTCCCTGCCAATGGCCTTGGTCAGAAAATCAAACAAATGATTCCAAAAGAGCTGTAGTTTTTGGCATTGAAAGAAAAGGTGAGATAAAGTTCCTCGACCACTTGAACACTTAACACAGAGGGCTGAAACGTTCTTATATATTTTTTCCACTTTAGTGGGAGAAAAATGCAACCTACACACAACCTTAAATTGGATCAGACAATGTCTAGCATTTATAGAACTACAATATATATTCTTAATGCACTCTTGCCAGAGATCATCAGTAACATCCACCCCCAGTTCTTCCTGCCACTGCTCCCTAAAAGTATCAGATGAAGGACTGTATATATCTAGTAAGGCCCTGTAAAAGCGAGACACAGCACCTCTAGTATAGGGCTCAACTGACATGAAGCTGTCAAGCACTGAGTTTCGAGGAATCAAATTGTATTGTGGAATAGATGCTTTGATGAAATGTCTTAACTGTAAAAATCTGAAAAAATGTGAATTTGGAAGATTAAATTTCACCCTCAATTGCTGAAAAGATGGAAAATGTCCATCAATGTAAATATCTTTGAGAGAACAAATCCCTCTTTCCTGCCATGTCACAAATGTGATGTCCTCCAGCCCAGGCCTTAAGGCATGATTGTTACATATTGGAGCATCCAAATACATTTTAGGAGCCTTTACTGTGCCCAATAGTTGGTTCCTGACCTTAATTGAATTTTGAATCACAGGATTTCTGCCATATAGTGTATTCTTCACTTTTATCGGGCTATTAAGCAGGGCTGGAAGACAAGTTTGTCTACAAGACAGGTGTTCCATCATCAACCATGAAGGTTTTCCTTCCAAATCAGCACCTGGAGTACACCTTCGCCAAAATGAAAAAAATATTTAAGTGTGCAGCCATATAATATAATCTAAAATTTGGGAGTCCAAGGCCACCACAAGTCTTATGTTTAACAAGATGTTTTTTGGAAATTCTAGGAACCTTACCCGACCAAACAAAGGCGGATACAACAGATTCCAGCTTTTTAAAATATGACTGGGGAATGCACACTGGGATTGACTGAAAGATGTACAAAAATCTGGGCAAAACTACCATTTTGATGGCTTTAATCCGCCCCACCATGGAAATTGGCAATGTGATCCAAAACTCAATATTCTTCTCCAATTGATTAACTTTTCTATCCCAATTTTGCTTTAAAAGTTGTGACACCTTACATGTGACTGTGATACCGAGACATTCAAACTTATCTAGCGCTATTCTAAATGGAGTATTATGCAGATAAGCCATGTCCACCCCATCGGACAGAGGCATAAGTTCACTTTTCGTCCAATTTATCTTATACCCTGAGAGAGAACCAAATTCGTTAATAAGCTGCAATAGTGGACTGATCGAGGTCTTGGGTTTTGATACGAATAAGACTACGTCATCAGCATAGGCGGAGAATTTATGAGGAATACCCTGATGTATAATCGGTAGTATATCAGAACTTAGCCGTATACGAGCTGCTAAAGGTTCTAGGGCCAGGGCAAAAATAAAAGGAGAAATGGGATCTCCCTGTCGCGTGCCCCTGTGCAATCGAAAAGGGTCTGATACATCATTATTAGTCCTTACCGAGGCCAT